CCGCCCCGGTGGGCTGCCGGGGCTGCCCGGCCCCTGGCAGAGCCCAGCACTGCAACAGGTGACCTGCTGATGGGCAGGGATGCAGCCAGGACAGCATTCCCCCTTCCCAACCGTGGCTGCTCTCCCGCAGGTCGGCATCATCTTGCACTACTCGTCCCTCTCCACCCTGCTGTGGATGGCAGTGAAGGCCAGAGTGCTCTACAAGGAGGTGACCTGGAAGGCACCACGGCAGCCGGAGGGGGACGTGTCCCAGCTGCCCCCCAGACCCATGCTACGGTACAGACACCCCTTCCCCTCGCCCCCACCCTGTGTGGAGCTGGGGCAGCTTCTGGAGGCTGGGGCAGGACTCGCTCTGCCAGACAAGCCCATGTCCCCTGCAGCTGTGCTGTGCTCTCCTGAGGGCCTGCTCTGGGTGCCCAGTGACACTGTTTTCCCTGTGCAGGTTCTACCTGATCGCTGGTGGGATCCCCCTCATCATCTGTGGGATCACGGCCGCTGTCAACATCCACAACTACCACGACAACAACCCCTAGTGAGTGTCCCTTCTCAACCTTGTTCTCCTCAGGTGGCCTCCTTCCACCTGGGCAAGGGGAACTGGAAGTGCCAGGGGTCCAGGCAACCTTGAGAGAGGCCAGTGAGACCTTTCCCAAGAGCTATCCGTATATTGGGAAAAGAGCAGCGGGGCAGGGGTGCTGAGCATCACGGTGACAAGTGTGGCTGCCAGCTGTGCAGGCCCCCAGCTCCTCTCACGTTAGCCCCTTCCCTCCCCAACAGCTGCTGGCTGGTGTGGCGGCCCAGCCTGGGGGCTTTCTATGTCCCCGTGGCTTTCATCTTGCTTGTCACCTGGATTTACTTCCTCTGTGCCGGGCTCAGCCTCCAGTGCCGACCGTCACGCCGGAAAGACATCCCCGAGCAGCTGGAGCCACCACCACGACTCGGGGGTGCTGCTGACCTCCTGACAGACTCCGGCTCCATCTCAGTCACGCTGAACTCGGGGCCTTCCTGCCCTGAGGTGGACGGCGTCTACTCCCTGCAGGTGCAGTTCTGGGCACTGGTGACCACCCACGCCTTGTATGTCGCCCTGTGGATATTCGGCGCCATGGCCGTGTCGCAGCGCTGGTACCTCAACATCGTCTTCAGCTGCCTTTACGGCGTCACCGCCGTGGCGCTGGGACTCTTCATCTTCATCCACCACTGCGTCCGGCGCCGGGACGTCCTCAACTCCTGGTTCTCCTGCTGCCCGTCCTACAGGAACGCACTGCCCATGCAGGCGTACGTCCACCCGGGGCTGGTGCCGGAGGACGGCTCGCAGGTCTTCATCGGCTGCGACCCGGAGGCAGCTCGTTCCGGTGCCTCCTCCTCGCCCAGCAGTGCTGGCTCGGCCGGGGGCCGCTGCAAGCTCACCAACCTGCAGGTAGCCCAGAGCCAGGCA